AATTACATCCCACTACTCCTTAAGCTACAAGGCATTGCTGTGGGCTGCGTGTGGTTTTTTGGGGGGAGCCTGTATGGCAGTCATCTTCAGACCTCACTCTTGCTTCAGTACTTTTGCCTCTTTTTCATGCACACATAACACAATAACATTGAATGCATGTTACTTTTCCTCTGCAGCTTATTGCAGTACCTGTGGAAAAGCCTTTAAAACAATCTTGCTACAAGTGTGTAGGGTACTGAACCCGGTGACGCTCGAGCAAGTGGTGTAAGAACCATCCTGCAGGCTGGTTTCAAACTTGTGCTTGTTATTGTAAAGATTTGTTTATCTCTGAGAGGAGGCATCAAAACTGGGTCAAAAATGCATTAAATGTCCTGGGCTGGAGGCTTTCCAAGTGCACGTAAACCAGACGCCGCTGCTTAGTAGCAAACTCTGCACATTCTCCTTGGATTTGCATCTCTAAAGTTCTGCTTTTGTGTTCAGTGTGTTGCTATTTGAGTTAAAAACAGTGCAGTTCTCAGCACAGTGTCTGGAAATGAGTCTTGAAGCATTGGCGTACACCCCTGTGCACTTTGACAGCAGCAAGCCAGATACTGGTGTGAGACAACAAAGAGGCTTGCCATGAAAGCCCAGTCAATGAATGAACGCAGAAAGCTCAGGACTTAATGCCACTTCTTGGATTTATGCCTCTGATTGAGGTTACAGATTAACAAGTTTATGGAACACACATTGTAACTCACAACTAAAGAGAAGAAAGCTGCTAGAGCTGCCTGCAAATATTTGTTAATGCAGCACAGTTAAGCTGCAGATTGGTCAACTCCTGGATGTTGGTGTAGCTGAATAAATAATTCCAACCCTGTGTAAGTACAGGAAACCTGTCTTCAAACTCCTTTATTAAGGACATAAATGAAATATTAATCTGGTTTGACTTGTCTTACTGTCTTAAAAAGTAATTGGCATGATTGTCTCTGACTTTATTCTAAATATTACCTCCCAGGTAAAATATCAATACCTAATTTTTGTGGTTTTAGTTTCAGGGCCTGCCTTAGACTGTAGGAATGCTGAGAGTTTCCTTGGATCTGTTTTAGCAACAAGCAATATTTCATTACAGAATAAGTTTCTTGTCTTGCCTTTCTGTAGGGGTGGGCTAACAGCACAATGGCACTTGCTGTGCAGCAGAGTGAAGCTGGCTAGTCTTGTCTTGTTACTGTGTATGAAGCTCAAACAAGTTGAGTATTTGTGGGTTTAGGCTGCCTGCCACACAGTTCTGGAGTGGAAAAAAAAAAAAAGCAAGTCTTATACACATGCATTCTCTGCATTTGAACTTAAATTGCATGAGTGAATGGGTTTGGAAAGTGAAATCTTGAGGTTCAAGTGACATGTCGGATGCTATTGCAGTCTGCTGTATACAAATACCAACTTCAGATTACCTTACCTCAGTGTCATATTCAGGGAAACTTCTCCAGGTTCTGGGCATTATCTTAGCAATTGCTCCAACATGAAAGGTCTCCAACTGACATTGTGCTAAAATCTGAGTTCATGCCCTGAGGCTGTTGGTCTGAAGCAGTTGGAGTAATAGTGACTGAGCTTACTGATGTCAGAGTAGCTCTAGTCCGGTATGGAACCTTTCATATAAAGCTTCAGCCTGGAATGAACTTTCAAAGAAGTTCCACAAATCTCTGAATTAGGAGTTTTTTTCAGGAAATGGACAATCTTGACTGCACCAGTACCAACATTGCTACTTGATTTGATCTTAACTTGTAAATGGTCTCCTTTTCTTGATGGGTGTTAACATACCACTAAGGCTTTTCCACTTCTCTGCCATGAATAAGTACCTGTCTCAGAGGAGTTTTTTTAATTGTTGGTCTTGATTCCAGGTGGATAAACTGGATGCATCAGAGTCTTTAAGAAAGGAAGAGGAACAAGCTACGGAAACACAACCTATTGTTTATGGTAATACTTTAGTTCATGTGTTGTCAGTAACACATTTCACTTTTAAAACATTTCTCTAGTCATAGTTTTTCCCAAGGAAGTCCTTGGAAATGGGAATGTTCTTTATGTGAAATCAACTCTTAAAGGAATGTGTTCCAAAATAGTAGATAAAGTACCACTCTGATGCTGCTGAACTGGGTATGGACTGCAGGACTGAAGATTGTCCTTATCATAGAATGTTTTGGGTTGGAAGGGACCTTAAAGATCATCCAGTTCCAACCCCCCTGGCATCAGCAGGGACACCTTCCACTAGAGCAGGTTGCTCAAAGCCTCATCCAACCTGGCCTTGAACACTTCCAGGGAGAGGGCATCCACAACTTCCTTGGGCAACCTTGTCCTTGCTCATACCAGCGTGTTACTCTTCAACATATAAATATCTGCAGGGATGTTGCAGGAATTCTGCTGGCTGAACTTTGGGTACCGAGGAATAAAGATAAAACTGTTGTGTCTTCCAGGTCAGCCACAGCTAATGTTGACAGCAGGACCCAGTGTCGCAGTTCCTCCACAAGCACCTTTTGGTTATGGCTACACCGCACCTCCGTACGGGCAACCGCAGCCTGGCTTTGGGTACAGCATGTAAGATGCAGCACAAGTCAGTTGGGAGCTAGCGTATTTTCTTACTGAAACTCCACCGTCCCTCCCCGCTTTAACTCATAACAGGGAAAAGCAAGAGTTCTGCCTCGTGTTCTTGTAACCTTTATTTCATGAAGGACTGTTTTTTCTAGCGCAAACTATTTGAATCACTTATGTTAAATCTTTTTCACATTCCATGTCATTTAGACTTTACTTTAAAAGGGGAATAGTTTAAACAACTTTGTTCCAAGTGGGCTTTTGCAAGACTGCTTATTACCATTAAGTCTATTGTGAAGATTCTGATTTGCACTCTATAGTGTTAAACTCTAATATTGAATCTTAAGTTCATTGTATGTGAGCAGCTTACAGTATGTACTGTCTATTCTAAATGCATTTAAGTCTCACTGTATATTCGGAGAAAGCTAAAGCCAAGATACTTGTATTTGACCTTGCAAGACTGCTGACAAGAGACAACACTAATCAGCATATCCTACCCTGGTTGGATTGCATAGCTCTAAAAGAATTAAAAATGCGTACAGACAACCTTGCCTGACTTAAAATGAGTAAAAGTTTTTTGGTTTGTTTTTTTTTTTTTTTCCTTAACCTATGCAGGTTTTTCCAGTTATGCATATAGAAAATGCTAGTGTCTTTTTGCTCACTCCATATGTAACAGATGACCTTATGTTGTGCTGTATCCTGTGCTTTTGTGGGGACATTCCATTCAGGAACAGAGCACCATGATTCCAATCTGTGTATTTACTAACCCTGCCCTGAGGTTTGTGTATGTTGGATATTGTGGTGTTTTAGATCACTGTTTTGAGTGTACAGAAGAGAGAATTCAAGCATATTGCTGTTCAGTTTTGTTTGTGCAATTTGAAATTACTCGATTTAAAAATAAATTACTGGACTGTGGACATGCTGCATAGTGGTAGCTTCACTTTACTGTCTTCAAAAAGGACCTTCGAACTCGAACCAAGTATTATTACAGTGCTAGTAGTATGGGGCATCCAAGTGCCGGACGTTCAAGGGTATGAGGGGCCATTAGGAGAGCAGCAATGGAGACCATTAGTGGTGTCTTGCACTGAGGGGTTAATACAAGAAAATATATAATGCTTTTTCTATAGAAAGATTATGCCAGGAAGAAGAAAATAGCACTTTTCAAGAGTTGGCTGCATTGTGGTCAACAACAGCATATTTGAGCAGATGATACGTTAGGATTGTAGTAGGGTGTGTCAGTTAAATTGAGATCATGTTCTAGGTATGTAAGTTGCCTTAAATATATTTAGCTTCAAATAAAATGGACTTAAATGTTTATGAATACTGTCATATTTGAGTGTAATGAGTATTACAGCACTGGCTGTATTTGTGATAGCTGTAGAAGCTTCTCTCTCTTAACCAGGAGCTGTTCTCAGTGTCAGGGTCCAGCTCTGAGGCTGAATTCCCTTCCTGCTTGCTCCTGTGAGTTCCAGCTTCCTGTGATCCTGGCAGCAGTTCCATGTGTAACGCTGGGTGTTGGCATCTGGGGGGGTTTAACCTGCCACAGGCTGTAGGTTTTTGTTCAAGAGTGTGTTGAAGTAAGAAGTCTGTGCTGAGCAGTGTCAGCCTTTGTAAGAGTATTTATGCCTAAATAAGAAGTGCAGTTTAAAAACTTCTCCATTCTCTGTGTTTATTGCACTTGCCTACGGTTGCATTTCAACCCCTCTGACATTCCCTCTGGGTCTGTAAACTGGATGGAGACAAATCCTTCTGTTCACTCTTTTACAGCATATTTCATAGGCACTCGACTGGAAGACATGGCTCCAGAAAGGAGCGTGACTTACAGCTTCTCCCCACAATTGTTTACTGGCTCTTAAGCTCTGGGCTGCAAAGCCTGTTTAACTGGGTCAGTCCCATCCCAGTTACAAGCTATTGCATCAGTTACTCTGAAGTTACTAGAGACTGTTTGTGCAGGAAGCTGGCTACAGCTACCCCCAGCTGAATGGGGCAATTCTGAACTGCTTCAGCAGCTCATCTTTTCCAAATTAAATGTTACTTCTTAAAAAAACCCTCCTGTGAGGCAGAGAGGGGGAACCTATCACTTCTAACACATGGCACAAAGTCACTTAAGCTTTATTAATGCTTCTCTTCAGCCAGTAAACCAGAGAAAGCACAGAATCCTCAATTAATTGCACAAGTCTTAAATACACTGGGTTTGTTCTTATGGGTAGTAAAATTCTGCCAGCTGTAGCTTCCTTGACTCGACAGAGCCTAGCATTTTCTTTCCTGCTTTAGAACACAAAACAGAAGCTGGAGAAACTCATGATGTGCAAGTTCCATCTCTTACAAAAACTGGTTACTTTATTTATACTGAGAGAACATATGGAAAAATCCCACAACTTGGGTTTTATCCCTTCAGTACTGATGTATACCAATGCATTCAGATTTCTTTGGTCCCTGGTTTAGAAGAGTTTCAGGTGACCAGAAACTTTATCTACTATATCAGCTGGTCCCGGTCCAATACCAAGGACTGTCTTGGAGCCTGGGGCTATCTGAGTACGACCCGCGTCTTGTATTAAGCTCACAGTCAGTCCGAGCTGTTTGGCATCAGCCAGGAGCTGGATCAGAGTCTCTTCATCAGGAGCTTTGAGGACCACTTTAGGTTGGCCGCAGTACTCCCACTGTTTCAGGAGTTCAGGATTTCTTCTCTGAGCTTGTTTGTAGGCAGAAACAGCCGCGTGGGAACACTGCGCTGCTACTTTCCCCTTCCCCATCTTCAAATCATTGCGGACAACCAGCACCATCTTGAACTCCCCGGACTCCCCCATGATGTCAGCATCGCTCCCCAGGTTGTTCGCAGCCGTAATCATTGCGGTTTTGGGATGTCTTAAAAGTCTCCCGCGAATGCCCCATCCCAGGCACACTCCACATGCAACTCCAGCGATGACACTGAGGAGCCCGGGTTGGGAGAGATAATCCATGATGGGGTTTGGAGAGTGGCTATAAAACAGAGGGGGGGAAACAGAATTTACTTGAGCATTGTACAATCTGAATCCGTGATGGATTTTGGAGATTGGGTATAAAATGGGGGGGGAAAACAGAATTTACTTGAGCATTTTACAGCCCAAATCCATGATGGGGTTTAGAGACTGGGTGTAAAACAGGGGGGGAAACAGAATTTACTTGAGCATTGTACAATCTGAATCCGTGATGGATTTTGGAGATTGGGTATAAAATGGGGGGGGAAAACAGAATTTACTTGAGCATTTTACAGCCCAAATCCATGATGGGGTTTAGAGACTGGGTGTAAAACAGGGGGGGAAACAGAATTTACTTGAGCATTGTACAATCTGAATCCGTGATGGATTTTGGAGATTGGGTATAAAATGGGGGGGGAAAACAGAATTTACTTGAGCATTTTACAGCCCAAATCCATGATGGGGTTTAGAGACTGGGTGTAAAACAGGGGGGGAAACAGAATTTACTTGAGCATTGTACAATCTGAATCCGTGATGGATTTTGGAGATTGGGTATAAAATGGGGGGGGAAAACAGAATTTACTTGAGCATTTTACAGCCCAAATCCATGATGGGGTTTAGAGACTGGGTGTAAAACAGGGGGGGAAACAGAATTTACTTGAGCATTG